TCTGGTGAGCGCATGCACCCTATAGCAAAAACCTCGCAAAAAAAAAAAGAAAAAAAAAATTAATTAATTAATTTTAATTTGACCAGAGAAAGAGAGAGAGGGAAAGTGAGAAAACAAGCCACCAGGTCTGGGACTCGAACCATGGTCAGTCATGTGGGAGTGTCCAGTGCCTTAACTATCAAGCCACCTGCTGGTTCCCCCACTGTGATTTTCAAGCTACCAGGTCAGGGAATTGAACCATGATCGGCCATGTGGGAGTCAAGCAACGTAACCACTATGCCATCTGCTGGCCCTGACATTTTTTTAATTAAAAAAAAAAGTAAAGTTGGGGTAGGGAACTTTTATTTTTTGCTTTATAAGAGACTTCAAAAAAATCTGTGGAAAATGGAATTAAAATATGAGTGTGTTTTGGTACAAAAAATTTGAAATCCATAGTTATCTCATAACATGAATTTTCCATGAACTTTTTTTTTTTTTTTAAGGTTTTGCCATAAGTTACATTAGATAGAGAGACAGTGAGAGGGAAAGTGAGAAGTCACTCCCCCTAGGGGGATGGCCACAACACAATCCCTTCTCCTCCATTCTCCTCCTGGGATTTTGGGGACACACACACATGTGACTGGCAAGATCTTCAAGCTGCCAGGTTCGGGACTTGAACCATAGTCGGCCATGTAAGAGTTCAATGCCTTAACCACTATGCCACCTGCTGGCCCCTCCATGAACTTTTGAAGACCCCTTGTACAATATTAAGGTTGTTTTGACTGCCTTACAAAGCTGTTTATGAGAGCACAGCAAAATAAGAACAGTGATGAGGTGAGAGACCCACACTCACCTGTAAGGATGGTGCTAGGGAAGTTCCCACAGTTGGAATACAGGTTTGGTCTCAGATGAAATGAGTCCTGTGGGTCTCGGTGACCTTGTTGCACCAGGGGCACCTGGAAGTACCAGAGGTCACATTATGAGGGATGCCCCTGCTTCCAGAAGTGAGTAAACAGTACAATGTGCTCCGAGGGCAAGCCCGGACATGCGAACTGCATATGTGCTTCTCTCTGGGATCCCAGAATGTTCTGCTGTTGTGACAACGAAAGCAGAATGTTCTCATCAGGTGAGCAGATGCTGAGGTGGAGGGGATCCCTGAGGTCCCCAGTGTGGGCAACTCTTCCCCAGCACACCACCCCACCTGCCACCCCATCCCAAGAGACATCAGCCGTTGTGGCTCTGTAGTCCCTGAATCTCAGACATCCCTTCTCCTCAGCCTCTCCGAGTTCCACAAACTACCATCTGGAAAGCCTTTCAGAGGCTCCATCTGGAACCAAGGAAGCCATGGACTCTTCTCTTTGGTTGCTAGAAAAGTAAGAAAGCAGAGATATTCCCTTGTCACATGCAGAGGGAGAAACTCTAGAAAACACCTCTCTCTGAGGCTTGGTTAGAAGTAGGACCTTTTTAGGTCCTTTTCCTGAAATTAACTTTCATTTTTTAAAAATCTCAAAAGAAGGAGTTTCCATACGTTTTCAGGAAGACAGTGATTCTCACAAAGACTAAACTGGGCTCTTCAAAAATATAGATAGGCAAGGATTATGGGTTCTTTCCACAAGGCTTCACCATGTGGCCTTCTTAGAAAATGGCTATCTTTGTCTATTTTACTATTATTATTAAGCTCTAGAAACTTTTCAGCCCTTCCTCCACTCCTTAACCCATTCTGGAGGCCAGTCCATACTTATTAAAGACTATAAAATCTAGAGCTATGAAACAGGATCCATATAAGGGAGAAATTAAAAAACAAAAAGGAAGTAGCTGAATGAAGAATCTTTTAGAAGGACCCCCCCCCCACACACACACACACGCACCCTAGAGCACTCCCAGGAGGCCTTGCACCATACTGGATGTACCAACCAGGCCTGTGGGCAGAATGCTACTCCACTACCTCCCTCTGCTTCAGGGACCAGGCACTGCCCCTCCTAGGCCTCAGTTTCCCCAACATGAGGGGACTGATTCCTTAACTCCTATGGTCCCTTCCAGCATAAATGATCCTGCAACTCTACAACTCTAGTGTTGTCCAAAGTCTTTCACCACTTATCCAAACAGCTCCTCTGTTAAGACCTGACACTAACTAAGGCAGTGGGAGGGGAAGGGATAGGGAAGATTCAACACTTTGCTAGCCACAGAATGCATCTGTAAGGAGGAAAGTGGGGAGCACAGTCTACGTGGTTGTGGGTTCTACACATGCAACAGCCTAAATGGTGCAGTTTATGTGCCAAGGAAGCAGAAGGCAGGGGATCATCACCAACCTGTTGAGGAAAGGTTGGGCCTGGCCTTACGGACTGCTGGTCAAAGCCCACATCTGGGAAGAAGTTGGTCAGAGATGAGCCCTTCAAGGAATAAGGAGGTGACAATTTAGCTTGGGACTCATCAGAATAAGTATTCCTGAGTCACTGGTGTTCCTGCTAGGACTTACCTGGGGCGTGAGGAGCTGGAAGTCTGACTGTGACAGTGATGCAGCAGCCTGGGGCTGCTGGGCAGAGGGCTCCTGGGTGGGGGTCTGCTGCAGGACAGGCTGGGGGAGCTCCTGGGGCGTGGGGTAAGGGGGTGGTGGGGACACTTGGCCTTGAGCTTCTGTGGGCAGGAAGGAAAGCGGGTTTTGATCTGAGGACATCATCTATAAAACAAACAAACAAGGCCACTAATTAACTTCTGAATTTCTAGCAGTGAGTCCATTCTGCTTAGGAAATGCCGGGGTGAGATAAAAGCCTGCGTGCTCCCTGGGTATTCTATGCAATGCGTGAGAAGCCTGGTTCTGCTCCTCCAAAGTACAAACACATCTCACTTCCCTAAAAGCATTTCCCATTCGTGACCATTTTCACTATCTTTAAAAAAAACAAACAAGAAAATAGTTTAACCAATTTTCTTTCCGTTTTCTCAGTGAAAATCATGTTTTGTTTTCTAAAGCCATGAGTTCTGCTTAAAGATGGAAGACTGAAAGAGGTACTTAGCTCTGCTGTCTCCCTAAATCCTACTAAAGCATGACACTATGACAACAATAGACATTAATAAACAACACTGAAACCACAATAAATAACCCTGAAGTGATAACAACACAAGGCCAAAGATAATGTGGAAAAAGGAAATAGCGACAGAATTTGGAAAATGAAAAGCAGATGGACCAGTGGCCACTGGCCCAGCAGGGCTGAGAAAGCCAGATGCTGTGCCGGCGGGGGGGAGCCACTGGAGGCCATCTCTTTACATCTCTGACCCCGTTGGGGGCTCTGGAACTGGGGACAGCAGGGAGAAGGGGGTGAAGCTAAAACTAGGAGGAGCTGGTCCCACTTTCTCAGAGAGGCAGCAGGACCTTGGGAGTCCTCCCCACTTGTGCTGCTGCACGTAGCCTGCCAGGAGACCTCAGCAGAGAGGAAACTGTGGGTGTCTGGGCCCAGGTGAGGCACTCACCTGAAAACACAGTATCTACAAGAAATCTCACCATTAAATCTGGATGTTGCTACTTTTCTTTCCCAGCTTGGCTCTCAGAATGCTGGGATCCGGGCCTTTGCTGAGATATAAGATTGAAAAGATGTCCTTCAGGGAATCTGACTAGCCTGAGAGAAATCCTAAAACTTATGACCTCAGAAGTTCCCTCAAGAAAATTACCAAGCTAGATCACTACAATAAAAACCATGCTCAACAAGCCCACATATGTACGCAGAGTCACTAGTCAGCTTTTTGGTATCCTGTCCCTAAATACGTGCAGTGTGTTAGGGATCACTAGACTGTGACATGAAAGTCCCATCTGACATAAAGGTCAGATACCAAAGCAGACATATAAAGAATAGAAACTTGGAAAGATATGTGGAAAAAGAAGTAGACATGAAAAATAATTTTTTTTAATTTTAATTTTTTTCTCTTTTTTTGGAGAGATTTTTTGCTATAGGGCGTGTGCACTCGCCAGACAGACAGAAAGACAGAGAGACAGAAAGCGAGAAATCACCCCCTGGGGGGATGGCCACGCCGCAATCCCTTCTCCTCCATTCTCCTCTCACGATCTTGGGCACGCACGCACACGCGCCTGGCGTGAGTTTAAGCCACTGGGTCCAGGACTCGAACCATGGTCAACTATGTGGGAATCCAGCGACAAAGCTATTATGCTAACTGCTGGTCCCGTAATTTTAATATTTAGGCTATTTAAAAAAAAAATTTAAGTGTTAGAGATACCTATGGAAATATTTGCAATATATATCTTTATATTGCTGAGGCTGGATGTAGATTTATGAAGATTCATTGTATTATATTTTCTTCTTCAATTTGAAAAAATTCTATTATAAAAAGTAAAAAAGAAAAGAGAACTACTACTGAGCTCCCACTAAAAACCTCAGCGATAAAAAATGATACTGTATCTATGGAACAAATCTGGTGCTATAAAAAAGGACATTCAGAGAATAAAGAACTGCAAATTTAAAGATGAGAGTAGAAATGAGAGTTAATACAAGAGTAGGAAGATAAAGTAGAGAAATTCTTCCAGGAAGCAGAGCAAAGGAAAAAGTCAAACTAAATCATATAAAGAGAAACAAAAACAAAAACAAAAAAAGAAGAGGAGGAGAAAAAAGAAGAGAGAAAAAGAACATTAAAGAAAATGTCCAGGATATCCAGCATTCATACAATAGGAGTTCCAGAGAGAACCAGAGAAAATTGAAGGGGGAAAAAAAAAATCACTGAAGGGGACCAGGAGATGGTATAATGGTTATATTGCCGGATTCCCACATAGCAGACTGAGGTACAAGTCCCAGACCCAGCAGTTTAAAACTCATGCCAGCGCATGTGTGTCCATGCCCAAAATCCCTAAAGGAGAATGGTGAAGGGACTGCCACGTGGTCATCCCCCCAGGGAGTGTGATTTCTTGCTTCTGTCTGTCTGGGAGCACACATGCCCTACAACAAAAATCTCTCTTAAAAAAAAAAAAAATTGGGCTGGCAGGTGGCATGGTTATTAAGGGTGCTGGACTCCCACATGGCTGACTAAGGTTCGAGTCCTGGACCTGGTGGCTTGCTTTCTTATTTTCTCTTTCTCTCTCTCACTCTGTCCCTCTCTGGTCAAATTTAAATAAATAAATAAATAAATAGTTAAATAATTCTTAAGAAAAAAAAAATCACTGAAAAAACAAAGAAAATGTCTCTGAAATGAGAAATACAAACTTCCAGACTAAAGAAAGCCACTAGGCACCAGCAGTTGGCATAATGACTATGTCGCTGGACTCCCATTAGTCGACCACAGTTTGAGTCCCAGACCCCGTGGCTTAAACTCACGCCAGGCGTGTGCATGCGTGCCCGAGATCCCTAGAGGAGAATGGAGAAGAGATTGGGGCGTGGCCATCCCCCCGGGGAAGGGTGATTTCTCGCTTTCTGTCTCTCTGTCTCTCTCTGTCTTTCTGGCGAGCGCACGTATCCTATAGCATAACCCCCTTAAAAAAGAAATCCACTAAATATCCAGACTTATCCAAACCACATTATCTTGAAGTTTTTCAACACAGAGGACAAAAAGAAGATCCTACAAGCTTCTGGAAAGAAAAAGGAAATTTCATTAAAATATTAAGAATCAGAACAGCCTTAGAAGTCTCAACAGCAATTCTAAAACTAAAAGTCAATGGATCAAGTACTCTTTCCAATAAAGCTACTATAGGATTTATTTTTAGATGTACTGAGAGGAGATTTACCCAACACCAACAGTTTTATAATGAATTATTAATAGGTCCACAGGAAACCAGACTAACAGAAAAGGCAGGACATTAAATCTAAAGAGAAAATAAAAAGGTTCATTGTGTTATTTCATAATATACTATTAATATATGGCTCAACTCTGACTACATTATTATAACTATAAAAATACTAAATGCTGAGTATTGCTCTGACCAAAATTACAATAAATGAGGATGGGTAGGAAATGTGGGGGGGGGAGTGTTGCAAGAGATCTGAAAAGAGAGCTAAATCCTACTTTTCAATGTTAGGATGTCATTAGCTAATGCCTGACACCAAAAATCTAGAACAAAATAAGCATAAAATAACACAGTTACATCCAAGAGATTAGCTAAAATGGTTGAAAGTCAGCCATCTCTAGGCAGAGAAAAATGTGGTAATAGAGAGGAGAAGACAGTTATTTCATAACAAACCCTTTAGAACTAGTGACTTCTTAAACTGTGTGCATGAATAATATTGATTAAGAAAAAAATTCCCCAGAGGTCACATGCACTTGCTAGAGAGAGAAAGTGAGAAAACAGCTCCTATGGGCTATGGCGACACCACAATCCCTTCTCCTCCATTTCTCCCTCTTTTTGGGATTTTGGGCACACATGCACATATGTGCTTTCAAACAGCAAAGGTCAGCATTCAAACAGCATGGCTGGCTGTGTGAGATCCGCAGCTTTAACCACCACTGGCCCAACACTGACTTTTTAAAAACTTTAAATATTGAACAAATTTTTAAAAATGTAAATATCTCAAAAAATATGCCCTCTACCCAGCCTCTTTAAAAACATAGTTAGAAAGCAAGAATACGTCTATATTCTCTAAAATAATCTTGCAGAATAAAATTAAAGGCAATCCAATAACATAAAAAAGAACCATTTTAAAAAATCATAGGAGGGTCAGCAGGTGGCTTGGTGGTTAAGGTGCTGGAACCCACATGGCTGATTCAGTGGTTGAGTCCCAGACCAAACGGCCTGAAATACGTGCCAGGTGTTTGTAAGTACGAGGCTAAAAATCCCAAGACGAGTATAGAGGAGAAGGGATTACAGTGTGGCCACCCCACTGGGGAGTGATTTCTCACTTTCCATCTCTCTCTCTGTTTAGTGTATATGCCCTATAGCAAGAAAAAAAAAAGAAAAGAGAAAACATGAACCAACTGGTGATGTGGCAGTTAAGGCAGCTGGATCCCACATGGCCAACTACGTGGATCAAGTCTTGGACCTGATGGCTTGAAGATCACACTGGGTGCATGTGCATGCATGCTCCAAATCCTGACAGGAAAATGGAGGAGAAGGAATTGTGGCATGGCAGAATTGTGGCATCCCCATGAGGGGGTGGTTTCTCATTCCTCCCCACCCTGTAAAAAACAAAAAAATCAGGACCAGTAGATAGTGTAATGGTTACGTCACTGGACTCCCATGTAGTCGACCATGGTTCAAGTCTCAGACCTGGCAGCTGAACTCACACTGGGCATGTGTGCCCAGAGTCCTGAAGGGAAAATGGAGAAGGGATTGCAGCATGGTCATCCCCCCGGGGGGTGATTTCTTGCTTTCTGTCTCTCTGTGTTTCTCGAGTAAGTGCACACACCCTATTGCAAAAATCTCTCTCTAAACAACAAAAAATCGTGAAATGCTTTCTCACCCTACCCTGAAAGGAATTACTCATATAACCAAGATCCCATAGCTAGTAACTGGTATAGAATGATTAACAAGTTCTTCTAACACCTTCCATTGTGTTTTGTCAACACTTCCTTGCTAAGTCATTATTCATTTATGGAAGTGATGAGGAGTTAATGATATTAAAATATGTCTAGGGCATGACCAATACATTAAAAATATAGGTATTGATGACTTTGGTAAGGAGAACCGACCTGAGAGTTTAGAATAAAAACTAAGTCAACAGGGCTAGCAGGTGGCATGGAGGTTAAGGTGCTAGATCTCACAGGGCCAAAAGCAGTTCAAGTCCCAGATATGGCAGCTTGAAGAACACACCGGACATGTGCATGTGTGCCCACAATCTCAACAGGAAAATGGAGGAAAAGGGGTTGTGGTGTAGCCATTCCCCGTGGGGGGATGCTTGCTCTCTCTCTCTCGCTCTATCTCTCTCTCTCTGGTTAGTGCACATGCCCTTCAGCAAACTAAACAAATGAACAAAACTCCCAAGATGGCACCAGCAGATGGCATAGCAGCTACGTCACTAGACTCCTACATGGCTGACCGTGGTTCGAGTCCTGAACCTGGTGCTTGAAAATCATTCTAGGTGCATGCGCATGTATGCTCAAGATTTCATGAAGAGAAGGGATTGCAATGCAGCATTCCCCCTGGGAGGTGATTCCTCACTTTTTGTCTCTATCTTTCTCTCTCCCCACAAGTACACACATCCTAAAGAAAAAACTTCTGTTAACTCACCCCCCCCCAAAAAAAAAAAAAAAAAAAAAACCAAATCAACAAGTCAAAATAAAACATTTAATCCCTGTATTTCTATAAAGGGCTGGTGACTTCCAAATGTATCGCATTCTAAACAGAAAGCTTCATTTCATTCTTTTTGGAGGTTGTAATCCTTATTATACCTTATATTTTGTCAACAGTCATAGTATTGTTTCTCGTGTCTACAGTTGTAATTAGGAAAGAAATCTAATCCAATAGCAAAGCTTCAGGAAGGTATTTCATGTTTTCTTTGGCTTTTCTGTGACTAAATGTACTTATACAGTTGATAATTGACTTTCCATACCAGTTTTGGTACCCTAACCTGGTTTCCCTTAGCTATCTTAGATGCACCTAAATTGCTCTCTCTACAGTTCCCTTTTCCCCCAAACCCAAGTTCATGAGTTACAGTGACTATGAAGTGTTTCATATTTGCCTAAGAGTAAGCGAGATAGCAAAGCTGCTGTTGAAAAATCTTTAATGAGCCTAAATTATTCACACTTCTGCTCTCTTTGATTTCCCGAATAAGAGAGATCGGACTACACTGAGACCTCGGAGGAGCTGGGTGTGATAATGGACGACCTAGTACAAAATGGCCTCAAGAAGGAAAGCAATTCTTGGGAACCAGCAGTTAGCGTAATGGCTATGTCGCTGGACTCCCACGTAGTCGACCGCGGTTCGCGTCCCGGACCCGGTAGCTTAAAACTCACGCCGGGCGCGTGTGCGTGCGTGCCCAAGATCCCGAGAGGAGAATGGAGGAGAAGGGATTGCGGCGTGACCATCCCCCCTGGGGGGTGATTTCTCGCTTTCTGTCTCTAATGTCTCTCTCTGTCTGTCTGGCGAGCGCACGTGCCCTATAGTGAAAATCTCTCAAAAAAAAAAGGAAGGAAAGCAATTCTTATACCCGTCAGTCTGTCTAACGGTCCATCTGTTTTTACCTGGGAGGTGGGATATGGGTTCAGCGGGCTGGTTAACGAGAGCTGTCTGCCGAAACCTTGATGTCCTTCAGGGCCAGGAGAGAGCGTGAGAGGGCTGACGGGAGGCTGCCTGCGTCGAGTGGGGCCGCTCAGGCTGGTGGTGGAAAGAGACGGGTTGCTCAGGGAGAACAGACGGAGTGAGGGGTGAAGGGCAGATGCACTGGCAACAGATGTCTGGGGGTGGCTATTTAGGGAAGAGGAAAGCGCTGTCTTATTGAGTGTGGCTTGAATGGAGGGGTTACTCCGGGAACTCTGGAGACCTGGAAGACAACAAATTCACAAGTTACTTACTATCGTTTCCGAGTGCATCTTTTGCTCTCCAAAGATGAAATAAAACTTCCTACTATCCACGTGTGGTGATGATTCTGTTTGCAAAGGAGCTCCTGGGCAGCTCTCCTACAGGAAATGCCTCAGATGTACCAACAGCAAGGAAAAGATGCACCCACACCGAGAGAGACAGTGTCATCGTGATGAGAATTTGTTTCCCAAGAGGAGTAAGTCTCGGAAACCACGACCATGAGAGCAAGACTAGGCAGGCAGGGAGCAGCAGAGGCAGACGTTCAGTGTGCCCAGCTCCAGACCAAGGAAAGGACCTGAGGGTGGACAACAGATTCTGCTTACAGCCCCTGAATCCTGTCCTATGCACACTGCCTGCATCCACTGCTGTCTTTAGAGAACATCCTTTCACTCAAAAATTACGGCTCTTGGAGGGGGCTGCGCCAGTGGATTCTTTAAATACCCTCAGCACATCAGGGAGTCCTAAGAAGAGACCTCTCCTACCACCCTACTGTCTCTTTCTTTGTTTCTCTAGTTCCTGGGAAACTGTCCACCACAGTTTACTCCAATTCAGGAGAAAAGAAGCTTTTCCTGGTGCTTCACTCATGGGGTGAAGGAATAAATTTTATCATGAGCAGGTCTGGAACTGCTAGGGCATAAATTCCATGGGGCCAGGGGCCTTGTCTTATGCTCTGCTGGGCCCTTAGCACCTGGCACAGGGCCCAGCATGGAGCAGCTTCACTCAGAGAGTGAATTAATGTTGCTGCTGCTGCGTGTACATCAGATGGGAAACCTGTACACTCAGGTGCTTTGAGGTTCGGCCTATTATTCTTATACTAGCAGCTGGGGTGAGCAGAACTGTATATTGTGCTGTGTTACTAAAACAGTAAGTGTTTGGGGTGGACCCATAGGTTTGTGGTTAAGGGAGCCAGATCCCCCCACATGGTCAACTGCAGTTTAATCCCTGGCCCCAGGGACTTGAAAAACATGCCACATGTAGGTACATGAGTACCCCAAATCCAGAATAGAGAAATGGAGAAGGGATTGCAGTGTGACCATGCCCCATGGGGTGAGGGTTCTTTCTCTCTCTCCTTTTCTGTCTCTCTCTCTCTGGTGAGTACATGTGTCCCCTAGCAAAAAAAGAAAAAAAAATTGTTTCATAAAAGTTATAGAAATGAAAAAATGACAAAATCATTTTGTCAAAAATATTTGAGATAACAAAATTATTTTTAAAAGGTAGAAAGATATGCAAGACAAAACTATAAATAGGTATCCTACCACTCAATAATCCATAAAAGGTCAGAGATTTGGTTGGTTCAAATGATAATTAAAGATATGAATTTAGATTTTAAAAATCAACTAATAAGAAAAGTTCAAACATCTTGTAAAAATACGTATGCTATGCATTTTCCTCTGTTTTCTTAGAGATAGGGTCTCGCCAGGTTGGCCTCAAACATCTAATCCTCCTGCATAGCTGGGTCCACAGGTGCATATCGCTGCTCCTGGCTTTTATCATGCATTTTAAGGAGTGTACAGAAACTATATCAACTTGACATTTGTTCTGACATGTTCTGGACTAAAAAAAAAAAAAAAAGGCTTTCTTGAAAGATAAAGCCAATGATTAGAGATGCGACCTTGAGCATAAAGCAAAGTATCAAAGACTGTACTAGAAAATGCCAGCTTCCCCACAACCAAAGGGAGCTGCATGCTGATCTTGCTTCATTTCTGTGACCTCTGATGTCCCTGTGTGTGGAGAGTTCACCAAAACGTGAATTGCTCAGGCTCTGAATCTAGAGATCCTAAGGGTTTTGGGAGTTCCCACTGTGAAGCAAATCAAGGGAACTCCAAGCTGAGAGCCTGGTGTCTTTCTCCACTGTAAAAAGCATCCCAGAGAGGCCAGGGCATATTCTCTGAAACTCACTGCACCCAACAGGGTGTCGTATGGTTTGCTCACTCACTTCTCACATTAAATGTGCCTGAACATGACTTGATTTCAACGTTTCAGAACCTAGACTCAGTAAAAGGCTTTCTACTATTAAGGATGATAAATGACCACAAAACTCCAAACAAAAATAAGGAATAAAGGTGGTCTTCTGAAACCAATTCTCCAGCCCTAAGTTGTTACACAGTGGCAGTGCAGCATCACCGCAACCATCAGAGCACTTCTCAGGTGGCTACCCCGAAGGGGAGCACTTTCATCTGGGTGGCGAGTCCTAATGTACACGGACACGTCCTACTGAATCAGAGTGCAGACCAGCAAGTGCTTCCTCCACCCACACAGCATTGCTGTGGACCCCTTCCAAATGAAAAGGTCCGTGGCACGAGACTCAGTAGGAACTGTGACTAGCGACTGGTATGGGAGTCAGAGGCATTACAGCTTGCCCTGACATCGACAAGGCTATCTGTCATGGTTAAAGCAAATGTTACCATGTTTCAATCTGGGGTCTGGGCTGTGGACAACCATACTTATACAATACCACCTATCACACTACAGGTGGCATTTTTAAAATTTAACTTTATTTATTTATTTTGACCAGAGACGGACAGTGAGAGAGAGAGAAAGTGAGAAAGCAAGCCGTGAGGTCTGGGACTCAAACCGATGTCAGCCATGTGGGAGTCCAGCACCCTTAACCACCATGCCACCTGTCAGCATCCATAGATGGCATTTTAATACAGCCAAGGCCTCATTGTTAAGCACTTTCAAAAATTATGTGTGTGGTGCGTGCCCAAGAACCCGAGAGAAGAATGGAGAAGGGATTGTGGCATTGCCATTCCCTGTGGGGAGTGATTTCTCACTTTCCCTCTCTCTCTGTCTTTCTGGCGAGTGCATACGCCCTATAGCAAAAACCTCTCAAAAAAAGGAAAAAAAAAGAAAGAAAGAAATCAAATGGGAAGCTGGAGCAATCTACAGAGATGATTAAAATTATGAAACATCATCACACATTGATAAAAGCTGTTAACATGTTTAAGCCACCACAGCACAGACACTGTTTCCTGACTCTCAAATCTTAACCTGAGTCCCCTGGGTACGTAGGCAAGTGAAGACAATATAGAGCAAGTTCAGCAGAGCGGCCCCTGAGCTCGTCAAGTCCAACAGAAATAGAAGTACCAAACTGAAATGTCAGCAGGGTCAGGAGATATGGTAGGGGTGTGTGGGGGGAGGGGAGTGGCCTTTAAAAATTCATGCAAAATGTGTATAATGAAAAAACTATTCATGGATTTCAAAACTTTTTTCCACAATATAAACTTGTATTTTAATTCCATTTTTCCACAAACTGTTAGAAATCTAATATGAGAAGGCACATTATCATTTGTAAATGAGTGGAGTCTTGCTCGTTCCATGAGTCACTGAACAGACCACGAAGCTGGGACTATCCATGATTAAGCCACCAGGGGACACAGACCAAGCAAGAGTGCTTACCGGCAGAGTTTCTTATCCCTAGGTGAGTCATAGCAGCTGGGAGGTTGCCCACGCTATTTCCCACACTCATGCTCCCAAAGACGTGATCGCTGGTGTTCAGGGAAGCCGGCAGGGGCGCCGAGTAGTGGAGGTTGGTTAGGTCTGGCAAGGACCCTCCAGTGTTCAGGGTCCCCAGAAAGGGTGAGAGGCATATGTTTTGACCATTTTGTGGAAAAGCACTGAAAAAAGAAAAATAAGTGTTACGTTTTACAATGCATTTGGCTACTGGGAAATAGGACAGGTATGAAATCTTTTCCTTATTTGATGAAAGTAGTAGATATTAAGGACTAAAGTACAGTATAGGCACTGCCTCTCCCTTGTTCTGGCTTGACCTTCCTAAAACGCGATTTCCTTACGTATTAAACTGAACTAGCAGTGTTATCCAGGCTCACTTTACAGAAATAGCTTCAAGATCATGTTAGAGTAGGGATGCAAAAGTGCATTAAAAATTATAAACCACTAGGACCAGCAGTTGGTGTAATGGCTATGTCGCTGGACTCCCATGTAGTCGACCGCAGTTTGAGTCTTGGACCTGGTGGCCAAGATCCTGAGAGGATAATGGAGGAGAGAGGATTGCAGCGTGGCCATCCCTCCTGGGGGATGATTTCTCACTTTCTGCCTCTCTCTGTCTTTCTGGCGAGCTCACGCGCCCTATAGCAAAAAAAAAAAAAAAAAAAAAGAGAGAGAGAGAGAGAGAATATTACAAACCACTATTTAAAATGTGAGGAACAGTTTTTACTTATATGGGTTTTTTTCCTAGGTTTTTAAATTATCTTTCTCACCAAAAGGCAAAAAAAAGTTATCTCTAGGCAACTAGATAAATCTTTTAAGATGTGTTTTTCCAATTAGTCTTAACTTTAAACTTTACATTGAGAAAGAGATATTGCCATTCATTTATCAGAATCTGTTTGGTTGTTAAGCCAGGCACCAGCCGAAGTGCACATGGTTTATGGAGCGAGGTGTGTGTATTTCTAGACAGGCCTGGGGCAAAAGCACAAAAGAATACCTTGTTTTAATGTTTTAAAATGATAGATCTAGGCCAGTCCTGTGGCCTAGTAGTTAAGGGGAGCCGGATCCTACATGGCTCACCACACATTCTGAAACCCAGCCCCAGTGGCCTGAAAAACACGCCAGGTGCGCATGTGTGCATGCCCCAGATCCTGATGGGATGGAAAAATGAAGGAGAAGGGATTGTGACACGACTATGCCCTACTGGGGGGTTTTCTCTCCTTCTCCCTCACTCTCTGTCTCTCTCTAATGAGTACGAGTGTCCTCTGGCCTCAGTGGTTGGGGGAGTCATATTCCACATGGCCAACCATGCAGTTTGAATCCTGGAATCTGTGGCTTGAAAAACACACCATGCACACATGTGCATGCATGCCCCAGATCCTAACAGGACAGAGAGAGAAGGGATTGTGGCATAATCATGCCCCACTGGTGTTCTCTTCCTCTCCCTCTCTGTGTCTCTCTCTGGCAAACTTAAAATAATAAAAATAAAAAGGGGCGGCTGAGAATTCTGGAAATGAGAAGGAAGGATAAGTAGAGGGCAGAAGTCTCAGAAAGGCCAGGAACGAAACAGGGAGAATAATCCACCTTGAACTCCCTGTGTCCCTGAGACCAAGAGAAGAGGATGGAGAGAGGGAAACCAGCTGCAGGAGTGGAGCTGAGGTTCATCCCGATGATCTCTTCTTTCTTGGGGGAAGGAGAAGGACCGAGTACCCAGTATCCATTGGAGGCTTAAGAAGAAAGAAGGCAGCAGGGAAGGTGTCCAACTGAGGGGTGAGGAGGAGGGACAATGCTGGTTGTAGAAAACTGACTGTAAATCTTGCCCTTCAGATGGCTGGCTGTCTACAGCTGGTTAGAGGATCAAGGTCAAGGACTAGGGAAGTACAACCAAGTACCTGGAGCTGCTCACGGTGAGAGCAGACAAGCTTTCTGACCGTGGGAAGAAAGATCCGTGGGCTATGACTGGCAGGAGTGAAGGAGAGAGGTGGGTGGAGGGAAGGCAGTGGGTGACCTGTCCAGTGGCACAGAGTGAGGAGAGGGAACGTGATGTGACCAATGTGAATGGGTCATTTCTGACACTGAAAAACATTTCTCTGCGGGTGAGAAAAGAACAAGCGGCCACTTCCCAAATGTAGTTCTACCTACTGGAGTCGCCTATTAGATCTGATAAAAGGCAGGTGATATTCTCCCTTGTTGGAAACCCTCCAACCACTCCCATCTTTTTTTTTTTTTTTTTTGGAGAGGTTTTTTGCCATAGGGCGCGTGCGCTCGCCAGACAGAGACAGAGACAGACAGAGAGACAGAAAGCGAGAAATCACCCTCCAGGGAGGATGGCCACGCCACAATCCCTTCTCCTCCATTCTCCTCTCGGGATCTTGGGCATGCACGCACAAGCGCCCAGTGTGAGTTTTAAGCCACGGGGTCTGGGACATGAATCGTAGTCGACTACATGGGAGTCCAGCGAGGGAGTCCAGCGACATAGCCATTACGCTAACTGCTGGTCCCACACTCCCATCTTTTCTGAGTCAGCTTCAAGCTACACAAACCTCCTCTGTGTTCCAGACCCAATCCTGCCTCGGAGACTTTGCATTTGCTGTTCCCTTTACCTAGCACCCTCTTCCCCTCACTTCACTCCAGAAAAGCATTGGTCACATACATTATGAGCAAGGTTTTCCTCGGCCCAGCTGCCACGCCATAGGTGCTGCTGCGTGATGCCGGAGTCACCTAGGAGCCCCAGGTTCAGTTGGGTGCATCAGCATTTGCCCATAATCCAGGCAGGTTGGGAGGCTTGGGTGGGATGATCATGACATGGTGAGGCCCTCTCCAATATATCTAACTTACTCCCTCTCTCCCACTTCTCTTTCTCTCATTAAAAAAAAAAGCCTTCCTTGACCTTTGACACCATCACCGCCTGTCTCCTCCCTCTGCTTCCTTCTCTTCACTGCTGGACTTACATTAGTTATCTCTAGGCAGCTAGATAAATCTTCTAAGATAATGTTTTTCCAGTTACAGTCTTAACTTTAAACATTACATTGAGAAAGAGATATTGCCATTCATTGATCAGAATTTGTTATCTCTAGGCAACTAGATAAATCTTCTAAGACATTCACTTGCCTGTGTGTTTTTGCCTATCTTGCTTGACTAGAGCATTAGCTCCTTGAAAGCAGGGACTTGCTCTTCACTGTTCTACCCAGAACCTAGAATGAGGGGGTCAATAAATACCTGCAGGAACAGGAGTCACCGAGCAGATTTCTGCCTTTACCATGATTAAGAATGCTGTTTTTGTTTTTGTTTACATTTATTTAAGCAACACCTGCCTGAAAGCTCTCCGGGACTCAAGCACTGCAGCTGACTCTTCAATGTGGGCCTCCAGAGCCCCGAGTGCTCATTTGCCTGAGGGCTGAGGCAAAATAATTTCAGGAAAACCCTGACTCTGTCCGTGGGTGCATCCTGCACCCCTTTGTGGGCTGGTCTCTTGTCCAGCGTATATCCTGGCAGCCTTTCTGACTGAAGAGAAGGTCAACGCTCATTTTGGCTCAGTTGGCTGTTAATTACATGAGCTTATATTTCTCCAGCCAGAAAGAATGCCTGTGCTGCAGGTGCTCGGCAGGGAGTGCTGTGCACATGCTGCTATGAGCTGCTCACAGGAAGATGTGCTGGGGGAGACGGTATCTGATGGCCTGGGCAGAAATGTTCACCCGGAGACCGCCAAGACAGGTGCTTGAACTAAGCCTGATCATGGAAGAGCCCCATTTTCCTTTTTTTTTTTTTTTTAAAGAATTATTTTATTTAACTTTTATTTATTTATTTATTTATTTTATTTGACCACAGAGGGACAGAGTAAGAGAGAGAGAAAGTGGGAAAGCAAGCCACCAGGTCCAAGACTTGAACTGCTGTCAGCCACGTAGGAGTCTAGAGCCCTTAACCACCACGCCACCTGCCAGCCCCAAGGGGCCCGTTTTCAAGCCACATTATTTTGGCCCTGGAAAAACTTGGTATTTCTGAACTGGCTTTGGTATCAAGCTACAGGCTGCACAGAGGAATGCTGGGCCCTATCAGCACACGGCAGTCTCAGAGCACTGCCGAGCAAGTCCCCATTCCAGCCAGCTTCAGCAGCGAGGGTGACTGTGTCCCTATTGCCATGTGTGTGTATCACAGAGTATCCCCTTCTGGGTGTTGTCTGTTGAAGTGTGAGCTTCACAAGCTCTGTCATCTCCTCGTCCCCCTTAGTCTCAGTCTCCTTGAGAACCTACCCCATCTTTTTGTATTCTATGTATTTTTTTCTTAAGAGAGATTTTTGCTATAGGGCGTGTGCGCTTGCCTGAGAGACAGAGAGACAGAAAGCAAGAAGTCACCCACCAGGGGGATGGTTATGTTGAAATCCCTTCTCCTCCAGTTTCCTCGCAGGATTTTGGGCATACACGCACATGCACCCAGAGTGAGTTTTAAGCTGCTGGGTTTGGGACTCGAACTGTGGTCAACTACATGGGAGTCTAGCAACATAATCATCATGCCATCTGCTGGTCCCTGTACTCTATGTATTTCTGTAAATGGTTTCAAATCTTTTAAGAAGGAAAATTGTATACTACTAAGTCTATTAATATCACTATCAAAAGAAAACGGTTGTTTCTATAAAAAGCAGCTGACTTTCAATTTAAACACAGCGAGGTAAATTTCGTGGCAATCTGTGACAAAGCAGTGAGACTCTCCTCTCGGGAAGACGTTCAGGACACTCCCTAGGACACAAACAGGAAGAACGTGACTTACTTGCCACCTCCGACATCACAGGATCGTGGGCGCCCGGACAATGACTGGACCTGGAACGAGACAAAGAGAGCTGGGTTCACTCACAGTAAAGCTAAATGTGAGTTTCTGAGAAGTGTTTTCATAAGTATCTCGGGGCACCTTCCAGTCAGCACAGGAGAGGGCCGGCATATGTAAACACAGAGCAGCCATCTAAGTTTTGACAAGACTTTAACACCCTTAGATTTCCAGGTAGGGCTGGCCCTATGGTCTGGTGGTTAAGGGAGCTGAATCACATGTGGCCAACTGCGTAACACAGTTCAAAATGCTGGCCCTGGTGGCTTGAAAAGTGTACCAGGGGCCAGCCAGGTGGCATGCTGGTTAAGGTAGCTGGAGCCCACGTGACTAACTGTGCCATTCCAGTCCCAGACCAGGTGGCTTGAAAAATACATTGGACATGTGTATATGTACATGCCCAAAAATCGAAAAAGAGGGTGGAGAAGGGACTGTAGTGTGGTCATGCCCCTTGGGAGTGATTTATCACTTTTGTTCCCTCTCTCCCTCTCTGACTCTCTCCAGTGAGTACATGTGCCCTATAATAAAACTAAAGGGGGAAAAAGAAAGCACATCAGGTGTATGTGTTTCCCAAATACGCCACAATATAGAGAGAAATGGCGAAGGGATTTCAGTGGGACCGTACCCCAGTGGGGGATACTTTCTCTATTTCTGTCTCTCTCTGGCAAGCCCTCTGGCAAAATTTAAAAAGAAAAACAATTCTAGGAATAAAGGAGGCATAAAGATAATGAATTTTCTTAATTTATCTTCCAGATGAATATTTCCTCCAAAAAGACCAATATTGGGACCAGCAGATGGCATAATAGTTACGTTGCTGGACTCTCACATAGTTGACCATGGTTTAAGTCCTGGACTCAGCAGCTTAAACTCATGCCAGGCACTTGGGTGTGCACGCCCAAAATCTCAAGAGGAGAATGGAGAAGGGATTGCAGCATGGCTATCTACCTGGGAGGATTTCTTGTTTTCTGTCTCTCTGGGGAGTACATATGTCCTATAGCAAAAATCTCTCTCTTAAAAAAAATAATGTTTTACATATAGAGCTTTTAAATAAATATTTCCTCTTCCAATTGGCTTGAGAAACAGAAGGAAATGGAAAAACAGAGTTAAGAAAGAGGAAATAAATGTCAAAAGAAAATAAATATGTAAACTACAATAGAAGCTCCAGTGGGGCAGGAATGAAAAATTATAAACCCACAAAAACTCAGGGAGGTGAACATGTTTTCTAGAAAGAACAGTGCCCAGCACTCAGGGAAAAGTGGAGGTCACTGCCCTCTTAGTTAAAGAAAATTAATTTGTCCTCTGATCAAAGCCTCCCAAACCATTCATGCCTCTCCCAGCCAAAAGACATAGTATGGCTGCTCCTATGTTTAAATATGTAAATCTGAGATCATCTTTTTACCCTACCCGAAAAGATTAAACAGTAAATACATCTTGCTTTCAAGACTACCCTAATGCTACTGGTGACTTTGGTAGACCTGGCAGGAGAACAGAGACCACAGAAATCCTGAACAGGTGGGGAGAGTTAGTTCAGAGACAGTATGAGCCACTGCAACAGGCACCATGACGGGCTGGGACAAGTTGTTTTCTTTTCCCTTTAAAAAAATTTTTGCCAGAGGGCATGTGCGCTGGCCAGCGACAGAGAGAAAGAAAGGGGAATAGTCATTCCAGCTCCTCTCTCTCTCCCTCCTTTCAAGATTTTGGGCACAAACACGTATGTACCTGGAATGTTTCTCAAGCTGCCATGTTTGGGATTTGAACCACATGGTCAGCTGTGTGGGATCTAGCCACCTTAACCACCACACCATGGGCTGGCCTGAAGATTTAACTGTATTCTTTGAGAGTCAACCCAGCTTCCCTACAGGACAATAAAGGCCCAGTAAGGGACCAGCAGGTGACGTGGTGAAGGTGCTGGACATTCCCACATGGCCGACCACGGTTTTAGTCCCAGACCTGGTGGCTTGCTTTCTCATTTTCTCTCTCTCTGGTCAATTTAAAATAAACGAATGAATAAATAAAATTAAAATAAATAATTCTTTAACAAATTTTAAAAAAATAAAAAGGCCCAGTGAAGAACTGTGGCCCTCTCTTTCTTCCATGTGGCTAGTGTACAGAGCCAAAGCGGAGGTCACCTAACACAATTTTAGATATGAATACTCAGGCTGATTGAAATCATAGTACAAAAGATGACTTGTTCACTGACTCTTGGAGGATTCAGGTCAAACACTCTCAATTAAAGTAAGAGCTATCTGGTATGACAATAATTCTGAACAGAAAAATAATGTGCATGACTTGTAAACAGTTTTTGGAGCTTTGGCAAAAGAAATAAGATACGGAGGACTTAATAAGTTTTTTGTGTTTTTCATTTTTAGATTTTTGCCATAGAGTGTGTGTGCTTGCCAGAGAGAGGGAAAGTGAGAGATCAACCCCCACTCCCAAGGGGGATGGCCACACCACAAACCCTTCTCTTCAATCCTCTTCTTGGGATTTTCGGCACACATGCATGAGCACCCTATGTGTTTTTCAAGCTGCCAGGACTGGACCTCGAACGGCAGTCAGCCATGTGGGATCCAGCAACTTAATCTTCCTACCATCTGCTGGCCCAGCTTTTCTTTCTAAGGAGTAAATTCAGATGAAAATGAGAAAGTCAAGAGATCACTGTAATACTCTGTTGACACTACTGTGATTTTGGCTTGAGACTGCATTCCCTAGTATATCCTTCCTATTCCTGTCCCAGACAAATTCCTTTTCCTTTTCTCCAAATTTCTCTTGCTCTTACCTCTGTGAGATTTTACAAGGACCTCTGAAGTGCAAACATGCAGTGACAACAAACAAGTTGAGCACAGTTAACCCACCTCCTTGGTCTCCCACAGTTGTTTTGGCAGAGGCTTCGGAACATTTAACAGATTCTCTTCTTTCAACGGACCAGGGAAAGACACTACTAAGGGAGAAAAGGCAGCACATTCATTGCATTAGAAGGCACCCTTCTGACCTTTAGTCAAACAAATTATCTTTGTAAAAAATGATTTATTTCATAAATATTCGTTGACCGTCTACTAGGGAAGGTGCTTTGAGAATTACTGTCATGGAGATGACCAGGCATGGACTCATTCTTTAAGAAACTTATAACCTGGTTGGGGGATAAAGACAATGCATAAATAACCATCTCCCAAAGGAGAAACCAGTGGAGGCTTGAGAAGTCCTTTAGAGACACAGGCTTAGGCATTCTAAGAGAGGGGAAAATAAAACAACAGGTTTAGAGAAAAGAAACGTGGACAACTAATGGTGGAGTACATCTCTTCCCCTGGTGTGTAGGCTCCTCAGGGGAGCGCTGGCAATGAATTTGGATGGATGAAGCCAGATCAGGGAAAGCCTGGCAAAGGAGAGAAGAGGGACAAGCAAAGAACTGCAATAAACCCAGGAGAGACGAGACAAGGAAAGTAATAAATGGAGAAGAGGAAAATATTACATGGGGATGTAGTGGCAGTGAAGCTACTTGGCTGAGTGTTAAGGAGGATCAGCAACAGGCAAGATCTGTTTAGCCTCCTTAATGCTATAAAACAACCTGGTTTTCTACAAAGAGAACACTCTAGGACTTCCTGCTAAAACAACCCCAGTCATCCAGGTAAAACTTACAAGTCCAATCATTAATACAGTCTGCTTCTGAAACGTAAGCTTGCTGAGGGCAGAGCCTCTGTTTTACGTGCTGCTTGGGAGTGCTTCCAGCAGCGCCTGGTAAAAGCTGACTAACAAACTGGAGGACAAGAATAATGGGCTCTGAGAGGCTTTGTAAAGACAGATAAAAAACTGCTCTGAAAGGTACAGTTGGAAGGGTAGAGTGAGGTGGCTTCATGATTTCAAGGCTGCTTCTCAAAAGAGGCCAGTTACAGACATCTGGTTGGGACAGACTCTAATATCTCAAAGGGGATTGTTTTCTTAGAGAAGTTTGTTGTTTCTTAGTCTCTTTTCAAATCCAAGATTTGTTGGGAATTCTTCAAAGAATTCATGGAAGGGAAATACAAACAATCTTAAAGCCATTTCTTTTTTTTTTCTCTTAATAAATTATATGTTTATTGATGTTTCAAATTTTCAAGATTTTATTCATGGCTTAAAATGGTTTGCCCAGAGAAGGAGTGTGCAAGAGGACAAGAGAGAATTGTGCCTCAAGTACAAGATGCTCCTCGTTTATCTTAATCCCTTGAGTCTTAGCTCCATGAAATGTGAACCTGATGTAGCTGTTCCTTTCCGGATTATGAAAATTAAATTTCATATTACAAAAATTTAGGAAAAATAAAATAGTGCCTGGTACTTAATTAATAAATGAACCTGTATCAGACCCTCAATTGTCAAAGGATTTGTGTATCAGTACAGCTTCAACATTATTATTTTTTAGAGAGATTTTTGCTACAGGGTGTGTGCACTCACCAGAAAGAGACAGAAAGCAAGAACTCACCCTCCAGGAGGGATGGCCATGTGGCAATCCTTTCTCCTTCATTCTCCCCTCTGGATTTTGGGTGTGCACGTACATGTGCCCAATGTGTTTTAAGCCACCAGGTCTTTAAACTTGAACTGCGGTAGACTATGTGGGAGTCCAACAACATAACCATTATGCCATCTGCTGGTCCCAACTTCAACATTGTTTTAATTGGCTTGATGAAACTCGGCATCTTCTGCTAAGATTTGCAATTTGCATTTTCCTTGCACTGTTTATTTACATCTGTCAATTACTGACCTGTTAACACTTCCTAAGTGGGCAGAGACAGTGTTGAGGGACTGACTAGCTGTTAAATAATCAATTCATTCATATTTTCACGTGATTACAACTTTTTCTTCTCTGCACGACCTTGTGACTGTGGGACTATGGGGACTGTAGAGACTTGGATAACCAGGAACCTTTGGAATCTAACCACGTGTTTCCTTTCTCATGGACCTGATCATGGCTAGCCTTAATTTTCTATAGGGTCTCAGAAGAGTAAATCAGCAGTTGTCAGCATTTTGAGGAGTCCTGAAAACGTATATTAATCCTTGTTTAGCTAGTGGAAGAAGGTTGTGTATCTCTGACTCAGCATATTACTGTAACCCAAGTAGGTAAGACCAGTTCGTACCTTCTCCATGTCCATCATTCTCACCATCACAGAAACCTAATGGAGAAGAAAAGAGAAAACACCTTTATGTGGTACTTTGATTTTCATTTATTCATGAATTAGTAACTCTTTCTGATGGGAAATGGAATTTTGATAGTTCAAAGGCAGTTTTGATACACTGATGATCATTCAAGTTATTTTCACCATTTACACTAAAAACAGATGCAGCTAATTTGGGTCTAAAGTGAGTTCTGATCTATTCTTCTTTTCCTTTCTTTTTAAAAAGATTTTTAAAAATTATTTTTAATTTGGTAGAGAGCATATCTGCTTGCCTTTAGAAAGAGAGAGGAAAAGTGAGAAGGCACTCTCCATGGGATATGGCCCCTTCTCCTCCACAGCTCCACCCATTCAGGATTTTGGGCATGCGTACACTTGACCATACAGTATATCTCAGTCTTAAAGTGTCTTACTGTTTCTATCCTGAAAACAGAACTATTTCTACAAAGTCTGAGAACTTCTACTCAAATCACAAAGTAGAGAATGGAACTCTCTTCCAGATGCTTTATCATGAGGGAAAAGGAAGTAACTCATAAAGTCTGCATCACCATTTGACCTCTACTGTGGGTGCATGTAGGAGCAAACTGGAAGTTCCATGCTGTATGTTATGTATTTCTTGCAACCAAGTTATTTTAAAAAAGAAAATGGAGTCTAAGTCAGAGATGAATTTAAAGTCAATTTATACATGGGATAGTTCACAAAATTTTAAAAATTTGACTTGCGGTAAGTTCTAGCTTAGAAAAAGTATTTTTAATCTATAAAATATATTTCAAAAAACAAAGTATACTATTTGCTATTGCTCTAAGCTAAAACTACCTGTGTCAAGGATGTAGTATCTACCATTCTCCTTGGAGCAATCAAATACATTAAATGAGTCTTCAGTTCAGAATCAGGACGAACTGTTGAGTCTGAAGACTTCAAATGTGACTTACTTGCAGTATATGTTATGTTTCTTCTTCTTTTTTTTTTTTTCCAGGTCTCAGATGCTTTATTCAAGGTTTTGACAAAGTACTGTAAATTTTGACACTTTTTAAAAATCCAGATGTATGTTATGTTTCTTCTAAGTTAACCTGATTAGTCCACAGAACTTAAACAAAATGTCTAATACTCATTCGTTCAATATATATTCATTAGGTTCTTTGCTAAATGCTAGGTGGGGCCAGGTGATGCACCGTAGTTGAGAAGACAGAAAAAGTTTTCCAACACCAGTAGAAGACATAAAATTTTAGTGGAGTCCAGGGGCAGGGGCAACACTGAGGGCTCTCTGAAGGACTAAGAGGTCAATAAATGAAGCATACTCGCAAAAGGATCGTTACAGAATTTTTCTCAGGTCTGGGGAAACAGAATCTGAGGGATTTCAAACTATTTTAGTGCACATGAAGTTGACTTGAAGAGGAAGTGGCAGAGCAGTGGTACAGCTGGACCCACATAGGAAGGGTCGTCAGTTTGAATCCCAAGGCTTCTCAGTCATATCAGGCATATGCACATGCACCCATGCTCCAGGCTGGTAGAGAATGAGGGTGGGTACTGGCGTGAGAATCCCGTAGGGGTACCTGTCTCTCTCTACCTCCTTATGGAAGACATAAATGAACTATGGAGGATAAGCGAGTTAAAATGTAGATTCCCGGGCCCAACCCTCAAAAATTTTGATCGAGAAGATGTGGGAATTAGTAAGGTATCTATATTTCCAATGGTCATCTCGGGGGACTCTGCTGCAGATGGTCCTTGGCCTCTTTGAGAGACGTGTTCTGGGCTGTGGCTGATCAGTGACTTAACACATCTAAGGAAGGTGACGTGAACAGGGGCAGAGAGAGAAAAGGTGTGGTTCTCCAATTGGTACAGTTAAAGAGGAAGAAAGAAGCTTCTGATCCATATTTTGGCTTCTGAAGACCCTCATAATGGAAAAAGGTAGGGAACTGCACCAATCCGATCATGATAAAATGATTCGCCGATTCAACATTAAAAGCAACGTTTATATAGCAGACTGATAGGACAATGCTGAATCACCTCTTCATAACCAGGAACTAATCATTATAGGTTTAACTACGAAGGCTGCCCTGTCCCTGGAACCCGAGGACTCAGATGGTGGCCACCACATGAAACCCTGAGTAGCCAGCCGATACGCACAGGATATCCTACTGGTGCCACCTTTTCCATCAGATGGGACAAGAAGGAAGGGTTCATGGAGGGAGGAGGTGGCACCTGAGCTAGTCACTAAGGACAAGAATGAGATGATAACAAAGGCAGCCAACATAGCTGTCTGTTCAGGCACGTCGCATAGATGATCTCATGTAATCTCCTAGCAATTCCACGCGGCAGGCACTACAGCTATCCAAAACCATGCTGCTAGTAGCTGCCGAGGCTAGAACACTGGCCTGTGTGCTTTAGAAGTCCACGTCCCTAGCAAAGGTGTTGTACCCAAAGGGAATCAGGCAATCAAAAGTGTGACAGGAGGGGATGTTCCGGGGCAAAGACAGAAGAGGAGTACCAAGGGGAGGAGGAAGAGGAGGAGGAAGATGTGCTCGGCAGGGACACAGCATGTGTAGTTTGACTACAGCACAAGATAGAAGAACTGGGACATAAGGCTGAATGGAAGGGATCCACCAGGAATTTGGCATGATGTAGGGAACAGCAGATTAGGTTGGAGACACAATACGGTTGGAGCTAAGCTCTGAAGAGGCTGCTCCTGTGGAAGAGCAGGAGCTGGACTGAAAGGAGAAAGCCTCAAGGTGGGAAGACCAGGTGGGAAACCAACATGACAGTCAGGCAAGGAGGGACAAAGTACAGGGTGGGCAGTGAGGACAGAAAACAAGAGGCAGATTTGAGACATGCTGCAGGGACAGAATGAACTGGACTTGGCTAGGATATGAGAGTGAGGGGCATGGGGACAAGAGTAACTAACTACAACTTGCAGGTTTTGTGCTTTGGTGACCAGGAAGAGGGTTGTGGTGATAACTGATGCATTAGCACTCAGTTAACATACAGCTGAAATGCCCAAGCCTGGATTTTCACTACTGGATAAAAAAATCTCACAGGCCGCAACTATAAATAAAGGGTTAAAACTAAAAAGGAATAAATTGTGACCGGGTATCAGGAAACAGAGGGAATAAATTTGCAGCAGTCCCACTGGGGATGGGACAGTGATGAGCAAGGCTGCATCTGTGTTCCCAGAAACCTCACAGGCTTGAGGCCGTCAAAGGCTGACCTCTCCTAACTCAGTGGAACTGAGACCACGTTCTTTCTATGTACTCCCATGCCTGACAAGCCTAAAATAACCATGCACAGTCTTGGCTTGCTGACTAGAGGACAAGGCAAGGAAAAAAAATCCTTCGACCAGAGTGCATTCTGAAAGAAGCCTATTTCACTACTGGATAAAAAAATCTCACAGGCCGCAACTATAAATAAAGGGTTAAAACTAAAAAGGAATAAATTGTGACCGGGTATCAGGAAACAGAGGGAATAAATTTGCAGCAGTCCCACTGGGGATGGGACAGTGATGAGCAAGGCTGCATCTGTGTTCCCAGAAACCTCACAGGCTTGAGGCCGTCAAAGGCTGACCTCTCCTAACTCAGTGGAACTGAGACCACGTTCTTTCTATGTCCTCCCATGCCTGACAAGCCTAAAATAACCATGCACAGTCTTGGCTTGCTGACTAGAGGACAAGGCAAGGAAAAAAATCCTTCGACCAGAGTGCATTCTGAAAGAAGCCTAAGTGTTTCAGCCTCCCCACTCTAGGCCCGCCAGGCAATCACACTCTTCTGCCCCTCTTTATACCCAGGATGCTACATTCCCCGCCATTCATGTAGTCAAGTGCCATCAGTAGCTTGCATCTTTCAGGGCTATTTAAGTCCTTTTTCTTAACTTGGCAGGTCAATGTTTATTGCTGATTTAAAGATCACTGAGGTTCAAAACATGCCTCTCTCTTCTCAGGAGACGAGGCCAGTGGTCCCCAAAGATGGGGACATTCAGCATCTACAGCACCAGGGTCAGAAAAGACAACCATCACACCCTCTGCAGCCCTGAGCTCCAGATGGCTCTGTGAAAGAGCAAGGAGCACCCCAGCCCTCTCCCACATGGCAATGAGAGGAGGGGAGTTAGGGGCCAGTCCGAGACTATGGACAGAGTAAGTGTGACAGTCCTGTGCCTACCAATCTGCACATGTGCGTGAAGTGATAATTAAACTACACGCACTGCCCAGGAATTGGTCAACATTTCTTTTTATATGTTCTGGATAATTAAACGAGGAGAGAAATAAAAGACTTGTTTCATTGTATAGAAGTTTATTTCTGGGGACCAGCAGTTAGTGTAATGGCTATGTCTCTGGACACCCATGTGGTCGACTGCAGTTCGAGTCACAGACCTGGTGGCTTAGAATCTCACTGGGCATGTGTGTGTGTGTGCCCAAGGTCCCAAGAGGAGAAGGGATTGTGGTGTAGCCATCCCCCCTGGAGGGTGATTTCTCATTTTCTGTCTCTCTGTCTTTCTGGTGAGTGCACACGTCCTATAGCAAAAACCTCTCAAAAAGAAATAAAAAAGAAAAAAAAAAAAAGGTTTTCTGTCATTTACGACTGCTTGTCATTTATGCCTAATTGTCATGCAGCTCAATAACCACTGTGAAAATCACTAACCATGTATCAGATTAATGGCTTTCTTTTCTTGGGATACAAACCCCCACTCATGAATGTTATCACAGTGTACTGCTCATGTCTTCAAACTATGAGCAGATAGATGTTCTCCAAACACCTGCTCCCTACATCACCATGTTTAGGAAAGATTCCCAGGGAAAGAACAGTTATCACCGCGTCTACTACACAATACAGTTCTGGGCTTTCTATTATGTTTTCCTATCACCTTTTAAATCTTTACTTTATTTGGCTGGTCCTATAATAAGAAATACCTTTTTGTAAAGATACTTGATATTTTTAAAATCCAAAAGGAAAGAAAATGAAAAACTTTAATGAATTACAAGGGGAAAAATACATGGAACTATTTAAAATAGCTCCCACCAACAAATGCTATTCTCCAGAAATAATCTCTATCCTTGGAGACTTGAATAATATTTTAAACACACTGGCTTTCCCATGTAAACACATCCATATTTGGCTGTGTTTCTGGGTCCTGCTGTTCTTGCAAAGCAACTGCAGGGGCAGGCTCACAGCTCAGACAACTCACCTTCCATGGCTGGCAGACAGCATGGTCCAACAATTTTTCTTTTCTTTTTTTTTTTTGGAGAAGTTTTTACTATAGGGCGCATGCGCTCTCCAGAAAGACAGAGAGAGACAGAGAGACAGAAAGAGAGAAATCACCCCCCAGGGGGGATGATGATGATGCAATCCCTTCTCCTCCATTCTCCTCTTAAGATCTAGGGCACGCATGCACACGCGCCCGGCGAGAGATTAAGCCACTGGGTCTAGGACTCGAACCGTAGTCAACTACATGGGAGTCCAGTGACATAGCCATCATTCAACTGCTGGTCCCAGCCCAACAATTTCTAACTGCTGAATTGAAAAGGAGAGACCACCACAGTTCTCAAATCAACCCAGAAGCCCCAGAAGGCTGCTCCAGGAATTCTGCCCTCTTTACTGCCCTGGATCTACCAACATTTATACTGTTTTGTTTTTCTTCATCTTCACTCACATCTAAGACTTCTCAGAGGCTATTGTGCTCGTAGCCTAAAGACTACAACTTCGGTATAATCACTTTCTTTAGTTACTTTCTTTTATCGTTGTGTGCAAGCCTTCAAAACTCCCTGCTTCAATGATCTATGATTCCCTTGTTCTCTCCAGGCCTTTGGCCCTATCTAGAGAAGTGGCCCTATCTAGAGAAGTGTAAACTTTGCACAGAGGGCGAAACACAAGTGAAGGAAAGGCAGAGGAAAAAGCGCAGGGGTTCCAGAGAAAAATCTATTAGCCTGACAAGCTCCCAGCCAGGCAGACTAAGATCTTGCTACACTCACAGGCACCCCCACTGCTCACAGCTCCTGCTTTTTACGGCTTTAAGTATTGCCGTCTCTACCTATCCAGGAGCTAAAATGCTCTATCTTCCCACAGACCCCACTTCTCCAAGCAGTGAGCGGTGGGCCCATGTCCAATTCCAAAGTTACTGCCAACTCTACTTTCACATTTCCGTGTGTGGAAACATGGGTAGCTGTCCCTAACCAATTCTGAAAGTTCTCATACTTTACAAGCAAGCAATCCTTTAGGCAAATGTCATCTTTCTGAAATGCACTGAGGGAACTAATATAGCCAGAAGTATTATTAAATTCCATCCCTATTATACACAAGGAAATAAGACCACGCATGTTCTCCTCAGAAGGAATAGATACTATTTGGGCTTCAAATAGCTTAAAAAATAAAGAAAATCAAAAAAGCTGGTATCTTGGCTGAAGATATATTTATTCCCATATTAAAATCAAACACACAGTCCTGAATGAACAAGATTCAATCTGCGCATGGAATGAAGAATTCGAGATTTTTCTTTCTGGCTTATAAAGTCTAGGAAGGCAGGCTGGGGATGTGCCTGAGTGAGCCAGCCACACTGCACATGCAGCTCAGCGGTCAGCACCTCGAGTATGTGGGAAGTGCTCTGGGTAATCTCCTCACCCTTCTCTCTCTCTGTGAGGGCTCCTCTATGCCAGGCACCATGCCAAGGGCTGGAGAGAGCAAGATCACCAAGACACTGCCTCCAGGAAACTGCACTGAGCAGAAGAATAGAAGCATGGCCACGTGACGAAGCCAGCAAGAGGGGCAGGTGCTGAGAGAGCTGTCGGCATGTAGGGCCATAGGATATTAGAAGGATGTGGGAAGTTCTGGACTGTGAGGAAGTCAAGTCAGGGTGGCTCCACAGAAAAGGGGATACGGTTGAGCCTTACCAATTGAGAGGGCGCTGGCCAGGAAGGCCAGGACTGAGTTGGGGGAGGAAGAGATGGGAACAGGATGAAATGCTAGCAGAACCCAAAGTGGAGCATGTGGTGGCCAATTTGGAAGTGAAGCTGGGAAGTAGTGAGGGAAGGGAGAGGTGGGGAGGGGGCAGATCCTTTAAGGGAAAGTGGTTCTGAGCAGAAGAGGAAAGGCAGCCAGGTTTGAGATCACTCTGGAAGCAAATGGTGAGATGGCATGAGGATGCCTCTTCCCCACTGCAGGCCACTCTGGCCTGAGGGAGACAGAATGGCATCTGACCAGAGAAACGGGGAGTAAGTGAGTAGGTACTGCTCAGTGCTGGTGCAATTTCCCTTCTCCTCCTCAGGGCAGGCCTGCTCTTCACCGTTCCACACCTTATTTAAGAGCTCCTCCCACAGGGGGCCACCCAGGCACGGTACTGGCCACTGCAGAGCCTGCCTGATTTTGGGTTCAGTTGCTATAGGCCCACAGACTCACAGAGGGAAGCCACTTCCTCCAATCTGGTCTTAGAATAACAAAGATGATATTATACTTAGCTACATCTGTCCCTGCTGGTTTTAGTTCTCAGTTTGTACTGACCCTGGGCGGGAAAGAAGACCCTCAGAGAAGACAAAATAAAACTGGCTTGGAGGGCTAGAGGAGACCAGTTAGGAAGTTATCCTCAGAGTCTGTACAACGCTGAGCACCTCGAAAAGTGCCTGCACCATGGGGAGAGAAGCGTGAGAGTCTAGAGTGCCAAGAGGGAGGGTGCACTGTGGAAGGGCAGGGAGAGGTAACACAAAACATAAGCCGTGTCCTCACCACCACACACACACACACACACACACACACACACACACACACACACACACACACACACACACACACACACACACACACACACACACACACACACACACACACACACACACACACACACACACACACACACACACACACACACACACACACACACACACACACACACACACACACACACACACACACTGCCCCAGCCTCGAGGCCCTCCACACTGGGAGTGCACACGCACCAAGGACATTCCTCTCTCTCAGTTCTTACAGGTGCTGTTCACAGGGGGCCCGTGTGTCTTACCCGTGTGTGGAGCAGGCCAGGCCGACTGGCCCCCTCCTCCATAGGGGTCCTGGGGCTTGGTGCTCAGAGCACTGGTGTGCAGAGCTGAATCAGAATTGGTCCTGAGGAAAGGAGGAGAGAGTCTGGCTGAAAACCCATTTTTCCTTGGTGAAAATGCAATTTCCTTGGCTGAATGCTACCAACAGGAGAGAAGGTAAACACAAGCGGTTGACAAGCAGCCACGAGAGGTCAGGACCTACCTGAAGTCCCTGACAGCAGCAGCCTCCGTGGATCACTCACACTCAAAACTAATTTGTGCCCACTCGTGTGGCTTTACACGTGCTGTTGTGGCAGTGTTCTAGTTCACTAGAGGAGCTGTGGGCTCATCCCCTAAGTCTTCCTATTCTTCTCCCGACCCAGGAGAGGCTGGGCCCAGGATGATCTGCACTGAACTGGTCTCCTCCATCGGAGCACAGCTGCTCCTCTGTGAGGGTCTCCCAGAACAGAGGTTGTCAAGCCCTTGCAGGGAGAAGGTAAGGTCAAGACCATATCCAGAATACTATAACATGCTCTCAGCCTTCCCACTCTTGCTCTCTCAGGAGCACAGCGGGATCTCCCATCTGCTGAGTGCTGCAGGACTGAATGCATATGCAGAGAATCCAGCTGCCCTTGAGAGATGTGGAAAAGCACAACCATGCCACTATTCTCAGTGCATTTATTTGTTTTGGAAAATATGACTGGGTTCTCTTTTAAAAAGTTATATTAACATGGAATGGGTTTTTATTATTTTTTGTACTGTGTTAAAAAGTATCTTTTTTAAGTCTCTCGATTTAATTTCTAATGTCACTAGATAAATACCAGTGGATAGACTCATGCAAGCACTTAGTCAACACTCACAAATTATGCCTGGATAGACAATTATCTCCACTGTTCAGGTGAGTAAAATGAGGCACACAAAAGTGAAAATGTACTCAAGGTCACAAAGTAAGAGGCAGACCCTAGGAATTCCAAACTGGGAATCCCACAAGTCTTTTTAAAAAAATTCTGCTAGAGGGCACGTATGCTCACCAGAGAGAGACAGAGAAGCGGGGAAAAAATCCTTTCCCCAAATCCTTTCTCTTCCATTTCTCCCCCCTTTTAGGATTTTGGACACACATGCACACGCACCTTGTTTTTCAAGCTATTCAGTCCAGGACTCAAACCATGTTGTCAACTATGTGGGAACCCAGCTGCCTTGACCACCATACCACAGCGTTGGCCCCAAGAACTCATACTCTTGTAATGTACTGAACTGTGCCAGACGTTCAATAAATGGTGAGTTTTTTTTTTAATTTAAAACACTTCATATAAACACAAACATAAACACATTCTGGAAACCAGAGAATACGTCAAGAACACCGGGACAACCAAACTGCTTGGTCTCCTTTAAAACTGACTTCTACTAGGGAAACAAGCCACGTACCTGTTAAGGGCAGATGTCAGTCGGAACCCAGGATGCTTTTCTTCTTTCCAAGGATGCTGCTGCCTTTACAAACCAGAACAACATAGAAGGAAAAGAAGTTCAACCCACAGGGAGCAAATGAGAATCTCAGCCCAGGTGGGAGGACACGCTCTTTACTAGCCTGGCTGTATGACCCAGGAGATACTTAAAAATGTTCTATGTCTTGCTCATTTTGTTCATCATTGTCAAAATGAGGTCAACCCAAAAGATCTTGCCAATTCCTATGATCTCTGATTTCCAAAACAAAAACTACCACAAATCTAAAAGGACAGAACTAGCTAGTGGGGCATTTAAGGAGTTAAGAGACAAAAGACCCTCTTTTAAGTGCCTTTTTGAAATTACTCAAAGCTAGGACTGACTCTTCTCTAAGGCATATGAGGTCTTCTCCAGATAGGTAAAAATTACTCCTCATCATGTACCCTGAGTGTTTGTGTGTGTGTGGGGGTGGGGTGGGGGGTGCTGGCAATCTTGGATACAAAGCCTCTGCACTCCCACATGGGTGGCCGTGAAGAAAACAGAACTGTTGCAGTTACTCAGGTTATCTACAATCCTAATTCTCTATTTATTCTCAGATATACTTAAGAAAAATATCAGTTTGGAGATGGCTTTTTCTGATTTAGAATGGGAGAATGTATTTATTTTATAATCCTGGATTTCTAGGACTTTTCTATTCTTGTTTTTGCCATATGGCATGTGTGATTACCAGAGAGATGAGAAAGAGATGAAGAAAGTGAGAAATCACCACCAGGGGGATGACCACACGGCAATCCCTTCTCTATTCTCCTCTGGGGATTTTGGGCACGTGTGCACACACACACACACACGCCTAACATATTTTTCAAGTCACCGGGTCCAGGATTCAAACTGCATAGTCAGCTATGTAGGATTCAGTGCTTTAACCACCATACTACCTGCTGGCTTGGGGTTCTCAAGATTTCTAATGGTGGCTGAAACCTACTTGGGGGTAAAGGCCAGTTGTTCCCCATCTTTATTTCACTTCCCCAAACCCACTACGTTGTCCCAGGAAGTGCTTAATCAAGATTTGCCCAGAGTGAGGCCAGTAGGTAGTATGGTACTTAAGGTGCCTGACTCCCACATGGCCAACCGTAGTTCAAATCCAGGATCTGGCAGCTTGAAAACTACAACAGGCACATGTGCATGTGTGCCCAAAATCCTGAGAGGAGCATGGAGGAGAAGAGACTGTGGCATGGCCATCCTCCTAGGTGGGGGGGTAAGGGAGACTGATTTCTCACTTCCTCTTTGACTCTCTCTTTCTCCAGCGAGGACATGTGCCCCATGGCAAAAACCTTAGGGAGGGGGAAGATATGCCCAGAGAATGGATGGAGAGTAGACCTCAAGCCAGAGAACCCATTTTTTTTTTTATATGTACACTTCAAATGTCTTCTGTATCTGACTTGGTGATCTGAAAACGATCCTACACACACAATGGCTGAAGCAGTCTTTTCTAGTTAGTTTTATATGTTACTCTCTATGCTGGGTACAAACTACTCAGAGACTCTACAATTAAATACAGTATAAAAATTAACATTTTAGGAGTCTTTCTTTCAATAGTTTACTAATACCTTAAGAAAAGGCATTTATTTCTCCATGTCTCAAATATATGAATACCAAATCAGAGAATTTGGTTGGTAAATGTATTCCAAATGTGTTTCTATTTGGTTTTAAGCATGAAGATCTAGATTTATTTAAATAACTTTCATTCTACATTTTCATACAAGTTTATCACTATACGTGTAAAGACTTAAGTTTTATAAGAGAAAACAAGATTCTATGCTTAGCACTAGAAATCTCTAAAAAAACAGGAAGCCAGCAGATGATCATCACTGGACTCCTATGTAGTTGACTGTGGTTCGAGTCCCAGATTTGCCAGCGTATAACTCATGCCGGGCATGTGTGGGTACATGCCCAAAGTCCCAAGAGGAGAATGGAGGAGAAGGGATTGTAGCATGGCCATCCCCCCAGTGGGAGATTTCTTGGTTTCTGTTTGTCTCTCTCTGTCTTTCTGGCGAGGATAGGCACCCTATAGCAAAAATCTCCCTTAAAAAAACAAAAACAAAAACAAAACACACACACTCTAAAACAACATTCAAGGTTAATAAAATATGGTGAGATCATATAAAAGTAAGACTTGTTCAGGACTGGCAGGCTGGTGGTGTGGTGATCAGGGATGCTGGATTCTCACATGGCCAACCACAGTACGAGTCCTGGACCCAGCGGCTTGCTTTCTCGCTTTCCCTTTCTCTGTCTGGTCAAATTAAAAAAATAATAACAAATTGAATTAATAAATAATTATTAAAAAAAAAAAGATGGGTTCATCATATCTTTTAAAAAACGGCTTGCTGGGGCTGGCAGGTGGCATGGTGGTTAAGTGTTAAAATGCTCCCACATAATCAACCATGGTTCAAGTCCTAGACCTGCTGGCTGCTTTCTCATTTTCCTTTTCTCTCTCTCTGGTCAAGTTAAAAAGTAATAACCATAAATAAAATTAAGTAAACAGTTCTTTTAAAAAGGGGAGGAAGCTTGCTTACTTACCTTGGCCAACTCTCATCCAGGGGCTGTGACGAGTAATTGGCTCCAAAAGTACTACCATCAAAGTAGAATTTTCAATAAAGGAAAAATAAAATAACAAAAAGTTGAAGGAGAATTAAGAAGCTGGGATCATGAGAGCTAAACAACTGAGTCTGGGGCTCTTATCTTCATCTCTATACCCTACAGCTCTTCCTCTATGCTTTCTCTTATCAACTTCCTCCAAAATAGTCTCTTCTATTTTCTAAACCATGTCTTCTTTGTAATATTCATGTGGACTGTCTCTTTTTTCTTTTTTTTTCTGTCTGTCCAGCATCTTCTGTCTTCAAGACATGTCTCCACTCCCACTCTGAACCCAGAAAGGCTGTCCTGTGCAGGCCTCCTTGTGCCAGTGAATGGTCCCAGACCCAGAGCTTCTAGTTAATTCCCTCAGAAACAGTGACTGGCTCAGGAATGCACTCATGACGCAAGCAGCACCAAGGAGAATGCCACTGAGGAGAAAAAAGGGAGTGCCCAAGCAGCGGGAGAGCCCCAGGGTGGTGGAGACCTGGGCCTCTTCCCTTGGAGAAAGCCTGTCTGTGTGCCAGTCCACACGGAGATAGCACCACAGAGATCTGGTTTCATGAATATTCAACAAGTCCCTCCATTTAGCCCTTGGATTTCCAGTAACATAAGCCAATAAATGTCCTTTATTTAAGATAAGGAGTTCCTGTTACTTTTTTTTCTTTTAAGAATTATTCTTATTTGTTGTTATTTTACAGTTCAATCAGAGAGAGACAGTAAGAAGGAGCAAGAGAGAAAGTGAGAAAGTGAGTCACAAGGTCTCGGACTTGAACAGCGGTTCTGAACAGCAGTTAGCCATGTGGGAGTCCAGTGCCTTTAACCACCAATCCACCTGCTGGCCCCAGGTGGGTTCCTGTTACTTATAACCAAAAGAGAGTTGCATAGATTTGTGGAGAAGCGTAAACCTGCCTGTGTTTTGGGGGTTCCGTCTCATTCACTGGGTCTAGCATGCCTTAGAACACACCCCAGATGCCTGGAGAGACCAACGGGATGCCTCACTGCACACACTGAGTAGAGCAGAGTGTTTTCAATTCTGAGCTACTTCCACCCACAGAATGGTTTTAAGACATTTTTATTATTTTCCAACTAAAAAAATAGCTCAGTTGATTCTCTTCACTCTAAAAGGCAACACCAAAGCTTACTAGGTTGGTAATGGTGGTGCTCCACATTTGACTATGATGCAGTCTTCTGCCCTCATCCCTGCCTGGGCTCCACAAACACATCCTCAACTTCTCACCTCTTTTACCTTCTCTGAGGCTAGTTCCCTTTCTTCTCCTCCCATGACGAATGCTGCCTGCTGAGGCCTGTGCACCTCCTTTTCACCCTCTCCAAAACAAAGCCCATTCTCTTAGTTTCTTGCATCCCAAGTAAGCTGAAATACATATTTTGCAGTTACCAATAATAAGTTTGATCCCAAACCCCAATGCAGAAATAATAAAGATTAAAGTTATACATTAATACATTAGAAATTTGAACATGGAAATCTAGGCACCGACTCTGTGCTGAGTTAATCTATGCTCATTTAATCCTAATGACGCTGGAAAGCAGAAGACATTATCCCCATTTTACAACTGCAAAAGACTAAACATGTGCTCTCCCCCTCTACCTCAGTGGTTTTTTTTGTTACAGGGTACGTGCATTTGCCATAGAGAGAGAAATGGGGTGGGGGTGGAGGTACAAGAAATCATCCGCCAGGAGGATGGCCACGCCACTGTCCCTTCTCCATTCTCCTCTCAGGGTTTTGGGCACATATGCACATGTGCCTGGCATGTTTCTCAAGTTGTCAGGTTTGGGACTTAAATTACAGTCAGCCATGTGGCACTCAGCCACCTTAACCTCCATGTCACCTGGCTGATGCATAGGCTCAGTTTGAAAAGAATTGAGAAATCCAAGCCCAGACAGTTGGCATGGTAGAGCAGGGCTCCAACCCACAGCTTACTATCACTGAAGTTCAGGAGCTCAGCACTGAGCTGCTGCCTTGTGGGAAACTGTGCACTAACACCAAGTGCCTCAGAAAACAGAAAATATGTACCTGGAGTTTTCTGGGAGGTGGGAGGATGCAGACTATAAAAGAAGGCCCCATCTACTTGGGCTCAGAAGAAATTGGGAGGCTTGACAGAGAGGAGATCTGTCCACAGGCATGGGCTGGACATCTTAAATGAATATAGAATCTAAAATGTGGCTCTAAAGAGGTCTTAATGACTTAGAGCAAAATGCTTCTTTTGCCAGGAGAAGCGCTGCAATTACAAGTTTAATTTTCTATGCACTAGTTTTCTCTATCATGTCTCACTTACTAACTTATTTAATTTGACCCTGAATCAGTATACTCAAGTGGAGATATTGTCAAAAGAGAGAGATTTCGGGAACCAGCAGTTAGCGTAATGGCTATGTTGCTGGACTCCCACGTAGTCAACCGCGGTTCGTGTCCTGGACCCGGTGGCTTAAAACTCACGCCGGGCACGTGTGCGTGTGTGCCCAAGATCCCAAGAGGAGAATGGAGGAGAAGGGATTGCGGCGTGACCATCCTCCCTGGGGGGTGATTTCTCGCTTTCTGTCTCTATGTCTGTCTCTGTCTGTCTGGCGAGCGCACGCACCCTACAGTGAAAATCTCTCCAAAAAAAAAAAAAAAAGAGAGAGATATTTCTTCAATAGGTATCAAGGGGCCAGCCAAGAGGGTGGCGGTTGGGGCGTTGGACTCCCACCAGTCTTGGACCTGGTGGCTTTCTCTCTCTCTCTCTCTCTCTCTATCTTTCTCTGGTGAGCATGCATGCTGCTCTGTAGCTAATTAAAACATAATAATGACAAATAAAACTAAATAATTTTTTAAAATTAGCTATCAGGCATAATACGTGTGAAGTATACATCAGAATGGACCAAAGAAGAACACAGAGAAGAAAGGTAATAAAGAAGGAGGAAGGCACACTGGCCCCACAGCCTACTGGTTAAGGAAACTGGATCCCATGTAGTCAACTACAATGGGAATTCTGGCCCTGACAGCTCAAAAACACACTGGGCGCATGTGCATGTGTGCCCCAAATCCTGACAAGATGAAGAAACAGAGGGGAAGGCATTGAGGCATGACCTTGCCCCTTTGGTGGGGGGAGGTACTTTCTTCCTCTCTCTTCTCTCTTTCTCTATGTCTCTCTCAGGTTAGTGCATATGCCCTCTGAGAATTAAAAATAAAAAAAAAGAAGGGCCAGCAGGTAGCACAGTGGTTAAAATGTTGCACTCCCACATGGTCAAACATGGTTTGAGTCCCGGACTTGTGGCTTGCTTTATCACTCTCTCACTCTCTCTCTCTGGCCAGTGCACATAGCAAATTTAAAAAATAATAAGTAAAATTAAATAAACAACTTTAAAAATAAGAAGAGGGAGAAGAAGAAGAAGAAGGAGAAGAAGAAGGAGAAGAAAGAAGGCTCTGTGAGAGATAAAGTATATCAGTATTTTGGTTGGCAAAGCCATGAGGGAGGAGGCCAACCTGTGGTTATCTGCCTTTTTCTTTTCTGTATAAATCTCTTTCTTGATGAATCTGCCCAGAAAAGCTTAATTTCATGAAGCAGAAGCTTGCCATTTTTCTTAGAACACAGCCATTCTTAAAGTTATTAAGTCCAATTACACAAAATAGAACGCAGTGGTCAAACACTGCAATTTCATTGCTGAGGTGGAAGTTAGCATTTTGACCTTTTTCATGTGCATTAATGATATGAAAATGCAGTAAATTCCTCACATTTTTAATACGGCAAGGTTGAGGCGTCCCAAGTTAAAGGATGTGACCTTTGAGCTCTCTCCATTCCTACTACTCATCTAATTTAATTGGGATTTAAAAACCCAGGGTCTATGGACATGGAGAGAGCCATGCTTACAGGTAAACTCAACACAAGGAAAACCCAAGAAAGGCTTATTTGTTCTTGGGAGGAGTTCAGAAATCTTCATTCTGACTTCATTTACTCCACAACATTGACATGCCCTACAGACCAATCTCAAGGCACAGGAAACACCCTTATCTGCAAACCTGTACCTCCCACGTGACTCAGCTCACAGTTCTGGAGTGTCTGCTGGGTGCCCACAGATCAGAAGAGAAGCACAGGCAACAGCTTAAACCAGCAGTACCAGCTCCTCCTCCATTACCTCTTTGGTTGGGTATGCTTAGTTAGTGAAGCCTGTGGCTCAAGGAATAGCTCCACATTCAAAAGGTGAGATAATGAAAGGGATAAACAGGAAGAGGCCATCGCAATGGATGGAAACCACCCATTTAAAAACCATCCCCACACTATGGACCTTTCTGATACCTCAATGCACTCCTTTTCAGTCCTTTGCCAGTCTCTCCTCCTTTCCTTCCTCCTTTATGTTCCTGGAGGCTCTGGGTCCTTGGGTCTCATGCCTGTTTGCACTGCTCGAAGGGACAAGCTGGGAGAAGGGACTCAGAATCACTGAGCGGGAGGCAGAGTGGAAGCAGAGGAGTGAGACTCCAGGCCAGACCCAACTCTCTAGAGGGAGCTCTGGTCCACCATGCTCATCCTGGTCAACCCCTTCCTTGCCTTGGCTCCCACTGCCCCCACAGTCAGTCACTAGCAAATCTGTATTTCCAACTGCCTATTCAGGTGCTCCACCAGAACTACCTAGATACCTTGATCCCCCCTAAAATCAAACTAATCCCAGCCGGCCCCTGCCCTTGGCTCACAAATAGAGTTTATTTAATGAGGACACCAGGTACCGACTGCTCAAGCGGGCGTCACAGAATCATCCTGATCACACCCTTTCTCCTAGTCCCTGCAGATCTGTAGAATAAAATCCTTCTGCTTCAATCCATCCATAAGGGGGGGACTCAGGGGACTCCTACTCCCCTCAACTGAGGGAGCATCAGAGAGAACAGTCCTTCCTCATCTTCCCCCAGAGGAAACGGAATAGCTCTTTCAGTTGGAAGAGAGGCCATCTGCTGGCCCATTTACCCATGCAGTGGGTGGGGTTACTCAGCCAAAGAAACTCAAAACAAGTTCCACCCTGT